GACTACGTTTTACAAATTTTGAAACACTTATACTTTACCGAATTCACTCAAAAAGCTTGGGATAATTCAATAACTATCAGAAATTTTTCTATAGAGTTGTTATTTTATTGCAAATACTTAGCTCTGTAGGGTGATGAGGTCTAATTTAAGTTTCTTGAAATTTTTTGAAATTTCTCAAGTATATCCTGAATTGATTTATTACTTTTGTAGTAATAGAATTTATAATCTCTATGTGCTTTTTACTTTAAAGTTGACTCTAAAAAGATTTTAAAATACTTAGTGACTACTATGATGCTTAAGATATATAAAGCACTGTTTTACAATAAATTTATTTTATTACAATCCTTACGCTTTTGTGTATTAGTTGTATAGTAAGTTCAACAAAATATCTTTACCGAAGTTCAAAACCATATAAGCAATATATATTATTGAACAATATGGTAGGACTAATAAATGATACGAGACTTTATATGGAAGTGCTATAAATGCAAACAGTTTTAAAATTCCCTAACATCACATATTACCAACAATTAAATAACAATAAAAAGTATAAACCCAAAGTATGTAAGACGAATGGATGAAGAGGGAAATGTAGCACCATTTTTTCATTTGTTTTGGAATGATATTAATTAATGATATTAAATAATGATATTAATGAATTTGCTCAAAAATTCAATTACTTAATAAACAATAAAAATTTTGTTACTGTAATTCATTATTGTTTAAAACACTTCAATAGTTTGAATAGTTTGTATTAAAAAGCATGATTTTTTTCATCATAATTGACTTTAAAAATCAAATTTACTATGAAATAATATTAATTCAGATGCGATTTTACCCACCGAATTTAATTAATATTTAAAATTTTTTGAATTATATGTATTTAACAAATTTGTTATGTATTCAGAATCATAACAGTAATGACTTAACTACTACTTTTTATTTCCTCAACTCTTTTTGAGGAGACAAAGGGGATATAAGGCCTCCATCTTGTTAGTAGATTTAGGCTTAGCTAGTCTTCATGTTCTTTGTTATATATTGAAAATTTTATATCTACGCCGTTATGGTAATAAATTATAGTATTTATATAGTATTTATTTTTTCATTATTTTTGTATACATTTTTAGAATTCAATCTAACAGAAAAATTCATAATATTGAAACAGATAACATATAGCAAATTGGGAGCTTATTAAAACTTATACATTATATATATATATATATATATTATATTATGTATATGTATTATATATATATTTATTATTTAATCACTTTCAATAATTGGAAATATATTTCTAAAATCTGAAAATATATCTAGCACATATAAAGATAAATAAATATGTATTATATTCAATCCTTACATGACTATAAAATTTATAAGGCTGAACTGAAAATTGTGACTTAGCAGTATATTATAACCTATTCCACAGATTATATGAAACTAATTTTTATGTAATCTATTTTTTAATTATTAACAGATTTTGACTAGCTACGTATGTAATCATTGTATATATTCCGCAAAACTTTAAGTTTACGCTAGATATTAAAAATCTCTTCTAAGTATATCCTGAATAATATCTATTTAATATTAAATAGAATTGTTAAAAATGGAATTCAAAATATTAATATCGTAGCTAAGTATGAAGGCTATTTCTTCTGTTATTCGTAGATTTAAATTTTCATTAAAAAACCTTAATGAAAGCAAAAACCTTCATCTACGTTAACACTATCCTCATACTGTCTATGAAATAATTTAATAATTTTTGCATTAGCAACTTGATATTAAAAACTTTAATTTAATTTTAAATCGAATCCAGCAAATAAATAATACAAACCCATTACTTTAGAACTAAAGTAAATTTATTTTAATCCCACAATTTTCTAAATTAAACACACTACTTATCCAAACCTAATTAATTCATATTTAACTATCACTTTTCATCGAGTTCGCCAATTAATTTCTCATTGCGAGGAAACGTAAACAGAGGAAAATTGTGTGCTAGAAAAGGATTAATCGTACTTACCAAGCGAAAAGCCACGTACTCCAGTGAATTTCTGTCGGATTGGCCTAAGCTCGAATAGAATTTTTCAATTAAATTTCTATTATTTTGATTTAATTAAATAACACTTCACTCACTTTCTTTCTGCTCAGGATGCTAATTTTCTCTTACACCTAAGCTTTGCACAATTTTACACTGAAATTAATTTACTTTTTCTGCAGTCCTTGCTGAAGGATATTTTTGTTACACTTTCTCAATAAGTTGAATGTAAGAGAATTTGTGCGTGTTTTTGTGTATAAAAATTTTTATGTTTTATTTCACTTTCGTCCTTTGAGTTTGAGTTTGGGTTAGTTGCTCTGACTTGACTGTCTGTCTGCATGTGGTGGCAACTTTTGACTTTGACGTACACTTGCCACTTGCCACACTGACTTAAGCCGTAAATTGTTATCCGTGCTAATGCGGCAGACAATAAGCCACATTGGTGAGAACGACAAGGAGGACGACGCCGACGACAACGACGACTACGACGACTACGGCGATAACTACAACGACGACGGCGTTGTAAATGTACTACGCAATGTTGCCACTAACAATGACGACACTACGGCGCCCAAAGCATTGGCATCAAACGGATGCTGCCTGAAAGTAATACGGAGGGCAAAAGTCACTTTCACAACGAATAAAAAACGAGAACACTGCGTTACGGTCAATGTGCTGTTTTAGTTTATCACAAAAACAAAAAGAAACGGCTTTCTCTAGTATTTCGTATCTTGAAATAAATATAAATTATGTCAGATAAATTTTATTTTGCTAGTTGCACCGTTTAAAGGATTGACTCAGTGCCTACACGCACAGGATATTCAAAGTAGTAAGGCATGCGATTTCAGTATTTCGGTTGCCTGGTTGGGCGTTGTTTACTAAATTTTTGTTTATCAACGTGTCAACGTTTGGCTTTTTTGTTTTTCTCTCTTTAGTTTTATTTTATTTTTTCTGTTTTATTTTATAACTTTTTTCTACATGCCTTGTTTTTCAGTTTAATTTTTTTTTTTAAAAATACATTTAATTTTTTTTTTTTAAATCATTCACGTACCCGTAAACCAATGACACAAAAGTATATCGCGCGGCTTATTCACACATAAACTCATTATTTTAACGCGTCGACGATTTTATGTACGTTTGCCGTTACCAATCAGGACAAATATCGAACATCAACTGACGTTGAATTTGCAAGGAGTTCGAGTCGGCGAATATTTTTTTCAAGTCACACGCTTATGTCTAACGAGGATATCTGAACTGTGGCAAATTAACAACTACGTTTCGCAGCGCCCTTTGAGCAACTTTGAAACAAAATCTTGGGGTACTGCGCATGTACGCATAATGTCAGATGTGCTCTTTTGGAATATATTCAATATGGGGAAAAATACTGGGTAAATGAACAATTCACGAATTAATTGCATGAAACTTAGTTTGCTCCTTATTCAAAAATTGTCCTGGGGAAATGTTTAATTATAGGAGAAACATGCATCGAAGTGATGTTCAATAAGCTAAAATATTTAACCAATATTTTTTGGGGAAGTAAATGTTTAAAAATTTATTAATCAGCCGTATTCAAGGGGATTTAGAGAAGACCACCGTTTTCGTAGGATTGACAATGTTTGTTCCTCCATATATCATTTAATTAGGATACATCTTAAAGCAATAAGTCAATCAAAGCAAATACTAATGGGCGAATAAACTTGAAAAGAAATAGACAGCATGCATTGACGACGTGGGACAAAATAGGTCAATTCAATAGAGAGTCGTGATATGTATTGGTAGTTTTGAATAACATCACGATTCATAGGTAGTTATAAAAAGGGTAGATACATGACCACTGACAGAACAAATTTGTTTTAAAGAATGTTGTACCATCTATATAGATATAAAATTTATGTAGCACATGCTAAAATTTGCAAGTATACCGGGCCTGCCACCGTGCCATGCTAGGCAACTACAATCGTACATGCTTACAACGATCTTTTGAACATAACCTACAGCAAAGGTTATGTTCAAAAGATTCGCCAATAGCTTGTCTTACACTCTTTCTATTTGATATATGTACAAGTAATTTTCTGGGGTGATTTATTTTTATTTGGGAAATATCTATAATTTAACATATACTGGCTTCGTTTATATAAGCCAAAAAAATTACCTTCGATTTGATTACCATCGAATTACTGCAAATAGAATGAGTAGACATTTTCTGAAAAAGAACTCTTTAAATGTAATAATATTACCTGATGGAACTAAAATTATACGAATGTTTACCCCTAAGATGTGGTATTTTAATGCTTTATACTGAATCCTATCAGATTTTAATTTAAAGATGCTATATATAAGAAGTAATCATTTAGTTTGATTCGATTAAAGCTTTTTGTGATTCTAATACATCATTATTCCTATTTGTTAGGTAGACAAGTTAACAAATATAGATACTCCATGCAGTTAACAATTTTTTTACCACTATTAATAAAGAACTTATCGTCGTTTATGTTACAGGAATATTCTTTTCGCAAAGCTATTATTATTAGTTGAATCATTTTTATAGTACGATACCACTATAAAATACTATATACAGATATAGTAATTTTATAGTAGTACTTATTTCCAACGTCATTATCGAAAAACCATATATTTTAAGAAGTTCTTCAAAATTGCTTTAAATAGGAAAAAGGCGCTAATAAAAATTAAAAACTACCGGAAATTCAAGGTTTTTCGGTTTTTGTTTAAATTCATGTCTATATATATTATTGAGAAAAAATTAATTGAATCCACTTTTCAGACAAGTCCCGCTTTTTTAAATTTAATTAATATTAGCAGTGATGTATTGGAATAAATAGAAAACAGAATAAAACGAGAAATTATAAACTACAACAAACATCAAAAAAGGAAAGTAGGCTGCTTAAATATTCAATATTTTTTTTTAGATATTTTTAGAATAACATTTAATTTTGCTTATTTCATTTCATATTTCATATCTAAATTTTAAAATGTCCCCCTAAAATGTCAAACAGAGATTCATTCGTCTTGGCAGCTTCCAAATCATTTCGAATTAAGTTAGAACTTATAAAGTAAAGGATATTGAATTTTTAAATAAGTGAGTAAATGAAATGTTAGTATAATAGAAATATATAAATATAATCTTGAAATTTTCATTGATTAGGATATCCTGAGATAACCAACGGAACACAGCAAGAGAAGTGTTCAATTAAAAGCAACTATTATGCTTAAGACTTAAATATGGTGAATCCTTATGTCAAAAACCTTATTAGGGGGCGTAATAATAACATCAATTACAATAAATCTACAGATTATAAACTGAAAACTTCTATTACCAATGACTATTATCATGTTAAAGTTGATGGTTTAGCTAATAATAACACTGTACCAAAAAAGAAAAATCCAGTGGCTTTTATCCTTAACACTATAGGTGCAAATAAACACCATGACCATCTAAAAACTAAAAAGTCAGTTTTTATAGATACTACACAGTTTAGTAATATATATTCTGTTATTGGCAACAACAGCTCTGTGGATGAACTAAATAAGCCAAATTTATCACCAGTTTCTAGTCAAGAATCACTTCAAATAGGTACTAACTCAAATCAAGAATATACTGTAGATAGTCCAAACATATCACCAGTCTCCAGTCAAAATTCATTTCTTTCAGTGCCTGATTCAAATTGGGGATGTATAAGATATAGTCCACACGTGTCACCAGCAAGCAGTGAGGAATATGTTTTACTTAAAAATGAAGTGAATCAAAAAACATTTCAATCAAATCATAAGTTAGATATATCCAATTCTGAAAACAGTTTAAATTTGTCACCAATCACTAGTCATGAGTCATTACAACCACGCGATGAACACAAGATGCCAGAGACTCGTTACAATTCAAATTTATCACTAGCAATTAATCAAAAATCACTTTCAACTAATTATAAACTAAGTGTGGAAAATATCTGCCGCAGCTCAACACAATCAATCATTTTTAGTCGAGAATCACGTTTATTATATGATAAATTGAATGTAGTAAAAGACGTCCATAATCCGGAACCATCGTCCGCATTAAGTCTAGAAGCATTTGTACTACATAAAAAATCAGTTGATGAAATTAATATTGCAGAAAAAGAGTACAGTGTAACTCTACCATCATGTTCTAGTAAAGAATCACGTTCCTCGAACACTGAGTTGAGCGTAATATATATTAATCAGAGTCTAAGTCAATTGTCAGCATCCAGTCGAGATGAATCAACAGTAGTAGATACTGAGTTAAAAGCAAAAATCAGTAATAACACTCCAAAACCCGAACCAGTGTCTTATGAAGAATTGCACTTAACACTTGCAGAACTAAAAAAAACATTGGAGGAATGCAGACTGCCTAAGCATATGTATTATAACCAACAGCAGGCTCCTTCTATTCCAGAACCATACACCTATCGGTCCGGTGAAAATCCTTTTGATGAGGGAAAAGAAATACTGCCAATTTTGCTAGAAGTTGGAAACTTAGAATGCTCTAAGCTTGTCTATAATCTTATAACAGGGAAATTTAACTTACCCTCACCAAATTTACATGAAAAAAGAGCTTCAGTTTTGGACAGTACATGCATAGAGGCATTGAATAAACTCATTTCTGGTAAATTTGATATACCCAAATCGTATGCAGATCGAAAGGCAATACTGAAAAATACGTTTGATGAAAACATTCATCAGTTTGATGATATAGACTCTTTCTTATCTAACATCAGTGAATCTATGCATGAGGTGCATAACTTCTTTCATACTGATAAGTTTAAGATAACTGAGTGATATTATAAATCACTCAATCATCAAGTTAAGACAATATTTTAAACAACAACTAATGCAAATTTTATACGTAAATATTTAACAAAACAGCATTCAAATTATAAATAAAATATTTACAAAACTTGTGGTTTTTTTCTGTCGTTGTTGCAGCAGTTGTGTTTTCGTATTATTTCTTTCTTTTGATATAATTATTTATTCTTATTAATAAAATAGTGAACTTAATCCTATTCTTTACATATATACTATTTTATATATAGTACATAAGTATTATGTACTATAATACTGTACTATAAATAGGCACAAAACCTTAAAATGTGTTAGAGTTCTCATCTAACGAAGGAGCGTCTAACCTATGAGTTAATTAAATGTCATTGTGCTTTATAAGTTACAGATAGTAACATCCACGTATTTCAAAAATATGTTAAACATTAAATTTAATATTATATTAATTTAAAAGGTTTTCTAGAAACTTTTTATCTAAGCCATCAGTTTACAATGCAGCAAGAAACAAGTCTGAAATAGCTTGGCTAAAGTTTCGCAAAGAGATTATATTATATTCTATATATTATAATGGCTATGGAGACATTATCAGTTTTGCGCACCATTTTCCAATAACTGGCCACTAAAACGATTTAGAAATTTAGAATTTTATTATTTATTAATTTGTGTGTTTTTCAAAAATTAAAAAGCAGGTATCCTTATTCAGAAATTATTGTACGAACATTTTTCGTTATATAAGGTTAGGTTAGAATAACGACCTTGTACAGCATAGCCCACTTGAGCACAAATAATTTTTTCTTGCGATGGCACTCATCTGACTTACACGCAAGATCAAGACCTGTTATGTACGCCTAACTGATCTGCGGATAAACAACATCTAAGAAAAAAGACACGACTGCCAATTTAAGTAAAAGTTTACTAACCTAACCCCTTTCAGCAAAACCAAAATCACTACACATTTTGATTAAGATCTCATTATATGTCTTCTTAATATGCACTCGCTAGTCAATATCGACCAAAGCAATTAAGTTCCGGTTAAGTTAAATCAGCTAACTGATATTTTTCTTATCTAAATTGAAGCAAGTAAGTCTTGTAGTTTAACAAGAATCATCTATTCAGACTTATTCAGTTATCACTAAATACTTTTGTTTGATAATCAGTTTACCAATCGTGAGTAGGTATAATAGACAGCTTATATATGGCTTTAACTATTTGAGCATTTTCTTAAAATATTGGAGACTTTATTTCAATATATGCTTTTTTTAACATATAACACATTAACAACCTGCATCTCAGTAATTTTGTTTGAAGTCAATCTCACACGTACAAATTGGATCTTGAGAAAAGTATATATATTGTAATAGCGTTTGCGATTGGTAAATCTGAATGGAATCTAGTTTTACTCTCGATCTGTCAAATTTTGTACTCAATCGAAAATTTTTGGAGCATTTCAACATTTCTGTAGTAATATTAGTAGACATTTATATTCTTCATAAATACAAGTATCGAATCATATCACACTATGTGTCAAATCATATAAAACAGATGTTAGTTTAAGGGTAATTTTGCTACTCCAGCGAAATATCTTAGGCTTTCAAATATTAATCTCGTGTGTTATACATTTTACCCCAGCTTTACCAATCGAAAACAAAAATTGCACTTATAGTGCTTTAAAAAATGTAACTTGATTCAAAAAATTACCCTGGGATTACTAATTAAAACGCTATACAAATACCGAACCAGAATAATAAAGCCAAATGACTAATAATAACGACAGGTGTAAAATCAGTGACTACTGTCAGAATAGCACTGAAAATTTACAATGATAATTTGATAGAAATAAAAGTATTAATAATTGTCACGGGTTATATATAAGAAAATTATAATAGTTTCACGTTAGATGGATTTTTTTATTATTTCCTGAAAGAGAAATTAGTTTAGAACAGAACCTACATGTTAAAAAGCTTAACCAAAAGATTACGAATTTGCTAAGCTTTTTTGAAAATAGCTTTGCAAGTTTAACAAAATATTAACGAAACTTTCAAACTTTTAAAATAGTTCTTTGTACCCAATTTTTTCAAAAAAGGTAGTTCACAATCTGAAAATTAAAGTCAGCTATAATAAGTTTTATTCAAATGTAAAAAGTACTCTACTCTTCCTTTTAAGAGTAAGGTCCTCTGCGATTGTCCCAACTATAGGCGTAAGCTAGACGGTAATGGTCATGTCACCAATAGACATTCATATGACGAATGGTCACAGGAATTTTACGTTCTTTTTAGTTATGCCCAAGAGGCATCTTATACAGAGAGTCATAAGACAATTGTTAATCTTTTATTTTTACCAATATTTTGTTTATTTTTTTTTATAGCAAATTTAAAAGATAATAGTTTTTGTGTGGATATGCTTACATATCTAAACTAAAATATATGGATTTACTTGTAATAAGAGTAATAATACAAATTCTGACTTTTATTACTAAACATCATGAACACATTTTGCCCAACGTGATGAGGCATTGATATTGTCATCACATTGAACACATTTTAATAAAAACTTCTCTCCTCTCGTTCACAATTTTTACCCACTTTCATACTTGTCAATACATGACTCTCTTTTTAATACGACACTAAGCAGTTTTTAAACTGCATGCTCCACTTCAAAATCCAAGTTACTCTCATTAACGATTACCTACTGGCACTCAGGCGGGGATATTCCGCCCGGTTACATGATCGACCTACTCCAATTTAGCATTCTGTCATTTGACTAAGTATTATTCATGGGGTATAAGCCTCTTCATTAACTTTCATTATACTTCGATGTTCCAAATTTAGCTACTTCCATTATTCCTCTCTTTAAGCGCGGCTTGAGCAAAGCCGATTGTGGAGTCTTAAATGCCAACAACGTTTGTGTAATAAGTCAACCCTTTTATTTATTTATGTTTCCTCCCTAATAACTATTTATTTTCTTACTTAGATACAGTCAGTGTTCTAAGTACTAAGTGTATTTACCCTTCAACTCTTTGCTGATGACTGGAATGAGATCCTCAGCATCATAAACAACACGATCAATGGTTGCAATCTTATTATGCGAAGAAATAAAAAGATGACAGTATACCTATGATTTTCAAACAGCAAGCCATCTGATTTATTTAAATTATCAAATAGTATTTTTGTATTATTCTTTAAGAATTTAATTATTTTTATTTTCTGTTTACTAAATTTTAGTGAAAATTTTTGAAGCAGACTATGTTTCGAAAAGGGCCATAACAGAATTATTTCGATGTGTACTCGGAATATTTCTAGCAAAACCATTGCCAATCAAATATGATCTGAGATTTTGATTTGGTTTCCTAAATAAGCTGGGTAAGTTAAAATTTTATGCATAGTTCATTGTCATGTTTACTCTATTATTAAACTATTATGAGCAAATATGTGACTGGTGACATTTATATATGTGTTAAAACTATTGAAAATCTGTTGAAAACTTTTTTTTGATAGATATATCATAAAATCTAGAGACGATAATTTGCTCACTTAACGTAACTAAATTGTAGCAGTAAAGTATGTAAATTGATGGTCCTTAAAAAGAAAACACCAACCCTACTTTAGTGTCTCAACTACGGACTATAGAAGTGAGATTTTTAGTTTCACTTGCAAGCTTTATCAATACAAATATTGCTATATAAATACATCCAAAACAATATTACTACCAATATGGGCAATTTTTTCTCACAAATCGTTAGCTTTTTTACTGGTAAGCCCAAAGACAACAATTTAACAAACACAACGTATATCTATGCTGCTAGCAGTGATTTGATTATCACCGATGAAGGTAGTGACAGTTTAAGTGACATAACAGAGTCTAGTAGTGGAAGTCTTAACGTCAATCTAAGCGAAACACGATTAGCTGTTCGAGAGTCACTTTCAACTGACATGGCAATGGAGGCCCCTTCAATTCAAAATAGATTGGCTATTGATCTCTTTCGCCATGAAGACTATCAACATAATCGTATTCAAGATCCAGATAGTAATCCAGTAGACCGAAAAGCTGGTGGAGATGCAGTTGTTCCACTAGAAGTAATGAATTCTGAAATGCCGCAAACTCAACCAAATCCATTCGATAATTCTTATGAACAAACTATCTCAGAATTAGAGGACATATATTCTCATCTGTCTAATATTGAGGCAGTCATGAATAATTTCCAAAATTTGGTTGACACATTTCAAGAGTGGGGAAGAAATGGCTGAAAAATGGGTTTTATTTAATGAACGAGTAAAAAAATTATTTAAAAATAATTTCAGTATATTTTGAAACAAAATTTCTTTAATAAAATGCATTGAATTTATTAATGCTTTACTTATTTATCCAATTTTTATTTATTTTATCAATAATATTTTTATGTCAGTTAATAAGAAGTTGGCGTAAATAAGCACAAATGTTCTATTTGTCATTTATAGGTGAGAAAAATTAACTGTAATCTGTTAAATCGAGTCTATTAAAGAAATATAAAAATCTCTTATTTAAGAATGTTAGGACGAGTCTCGCAAACATCCTACACAACAGATATTTATATCGGAGATTTAAAAATATGCATATTTAGACAAAAGATTCATAAACATGAACTTTCTTAGTCGTATTGGATTGCAATGGAATTTCATTTAGCCCGAATTTTAGATAATAAAATAATTTCATTTTTAAATTAATTAAAATGCATAATAAGCATTTTAATATCAAAAATACTAGGAGATCATAATATTTAGGCAGGTTAGGTTTTAGCTTAGAATAAGTATAAAAACTATATAATTTTATTTAATAAATGCAGATTCAACTAAACATTGAGTCTTTCACTTTACTTGATTTAAGTTAGCTAGTTACAACCTAGTTATATAGTTATATAGTTGCAAACACTAAAGACGCTTTGCTGGGCTAGGGCTACGTTTAACTCTCTTCGGAAATTGTAATTCAATCCAAACACTTTTGTACGTGACAACTGATTTTTTCCTTTTATCAACAGTCTTTCAATAAATACCTCGTCCCACCAGGCATATGTATCCACTTTTATATGTATATATATATGAGTTACGTCCCCCTCAGATACACAGTACAGTATAATGGGTAACAATGTATAAATATCTAACAATGTATAAGTATCCATATTGGCAACAAATTGTTGCCAACAATGTATAAATATCTATAATGGACAATAATTAATAAGTATCAATAATATAAACATAAACATCCCGTGCCGCTGAATTCAAAGTGTCATTTGAATCACCGCGCCTGAGTGAAAAGCAAACATAAACACAAATGTAATAATTACATTCCATAACTTATCGCACTCTAAGCAAAGACAATCGCCTATAGTAAAAATGTACTCATTTTTCCAAGCTCTATAATTGAACTTTTGTTCAGCAACCAAAAAATTGGCAAAGCTTTTGACACATGTTGAAAAGACCAAAGCTGTTTTGTTAAATTGCTTAAATTGATATTTTTTGCAACATTCTGTTACAAACGTATGTTGATAATGATTTGGTACTTTATGCGAAAACAAATTACCTTGTATGAATATTGTTTTTAACATCGTTTATCTTCTTCTTTTTGTTTTCAATATGGGTATAGAGACAAGAACTTTTGCTTCGTTTTAATAAAAAAAAAAATGCAATTATCTTGCTGCTGAATATTGATACGAAATGAAATAATAAACATGCATTTTTTTTTTGTTATTAATGCACTGAATCAAAATTACAGCTGTAATCCAAAAAAAATCTTATGCATAAATTTGTCATTTTCCTAATGTTTAACTCGATTCTAATAGCAATGATAATGATTTGTGTATTGTTTTTCGTAGGAGGACAAGGAACTGTGAAATTGTGTTACTTGCAGAGATTTTAATACAACTAATTTTGATTTTGTTTCGCGGAGTAATATCGTGTGCGGTCCAATTTTAAATTTTAATTAATACTTATTCATAAGAGTAGTTTTTTTTTAAGTGTTAATTTTTAACATTTTTCGATTTTTGTTATTTCAAAATATAAACTTATTGTTAGAAATGTCACATTGAAAATGAGATAATGAGATATAACAATATTGAAGGTTGCCTATCTGCTGGACTAAATGTGAGAGGGTTAGTTTGTGATCAAAGCCCAACAAACCAAACCCTTTATAGAAAACTCGATATTTCTAAAAATAATCCCTTCTTTATTTTTGAAACTGGGAATGACAAAAAAAAAATATTTTGTTTCTTTGATATCCCTTACATATTTAAATCGATTCGTAATAATTTATTGAAATATCGTTTAAAAGATGGTGGTAATAATTGTGCCAATGGGGAAGTTTTGAGAGAGCTGTAACGAATTAACTCGTAGTCATCTATTGACTCTATACATCTATTCATCTATTCGAACTTAGCTGTTCAAGTGCTCAGCGCCAGAACAGCTGCGGGAATTCACACTGGCATAGAATTGAATTTATTTAATAAAAATAATTAGTCGGGTGAGGTACACACAGAAATATTCATCAGTTAATGAATTCTGCTTTATTATTGGAAGAATAATTTCTGTTAATTTAATATATGGTTCCAAATACTCTAATTGTGAGGAAGATGATGATGAATTGCTTGGCATAGATTGGACTACAATATCTGTGGACCATAAAAATTAAATGGAAGCGACTGCTGGAACTTTCAATGAAGAAGAGATTGAGGATGAAGCAGTTAACGAAAATGGTTCGGAAGAAATAAATTCAATTATAGAAATCAATTCCGAAGATGGTTTGTTGCCTGTGCTTTCTGATAATGCAAATTAATATTTTGCAGGATATATTTTGCATAAGTTTTTTAGAAAAACTACGCTGAAAAATTGCGAAAATTGCAGAATAGATTGTATCAAATCGGATAATGTAATTAATGAGCCTTCTGATTGGCTTCTATACTTCAAAAATTATGGAAGTGATGGTAATTCTTGCTCGCTTTTTGCTCCTTCAAATTTTTTTTATGAATTGTGTAAGCCAATTGTTATAGTGACGGAATCTTACTGTTGATAATAAATTTTTGTGTTTTTGATGATCCATATTGGTACAATTCAGAACATTCATGCTATGAACACAGATTACTGTTGTTAAAACATTTTCTTATGGTATTAATTCGAGCCGTTTGCAAACGCAAAATTAAAAAGTTTTGCCAAAAATAAATAAAAGCGTTCAGAAGGAAAGACTGCAAATATTGCACCAATAACGGATACCTGTGTTGCGAATACCTGTTGTGTTTATTTTTGTGTTAGCACAAAAGATTCATATATATTCCTAGTATTAATTAGTCAACTTTATTTTCAACTTTTGTAAATTAATTCTTTCTTGTAAAAATATACTGTTAAGATAGATGTTAATGTAAGATGTATAATTTATAAAAATAAATTTATTATTTTGTACATATTAATAAAGATCATAATTAAAAATGATAAATATTATTACTATGCAATTTTATTTCAAAGGCAGGTGCAGATATTGTATTTTTTCCGAGTAGAAAATCAACAATGTACAATAATAAAGCCTTTTATGTGATTTATTTACATAAACTAATACATATAAAAATGTCATGCAGTCACTTGCAACCAAATTAAGTAAACATTTCTTTTCTTGAATTTGTGTCTAAAATTACCAACAATTTCCATCATAAATGTAATATGCATGTGTTTAGCAACATTATTTCAAGCAATATTGCCCTGAGCAACATTGTTGAGGAATATCAGACGGCCATCAGCTTGTTTTAAATCAAAGCTTTTAGAACAATTTCTAAAAAGGGCATTTCGTATCTATATTATACATTGTCATTGCTCTAAGCATAAATTTAAGAATTGTATCATTTCACAATTGTATGAAATATGCTCTAAAGCTCTTTTCATAAGATTTAGAAGTCAGTCTTGATCCAACTCACATTTGTAACACACTTAATAATTTTACCAATAAAATATAAATTTAAAGGTCTTCATTCGTGTAGTTTTATTACAAACAAGTTTTTTTTTACGTTTTTTAATATACAAAAACGAAATTTATGTATATGAGTACGTAAGTCTTTATTTAAGCTGCTTGTTAGTTAAGCGGTTTAAAAAAAGTTGGAATAAATAAACTTTTAAAATAAGCGGTTCTTCTTTTGCGATATGTGTACAAAAGAAAAGGCCTATAGTTACTTTTATGGGCAATATTGGGGATTCTAAGAATTATTTTTATTTAGTATTTTTAGTAGTTGGGAACATATGTATATTGCATAAAATGATTGAATTTACTATGACAGTCTGACGAAAAAATCCAAAACTGAAAGAATTTTTAGCAAAGCATTAAGTGAAATCACTGTGTACAGTACAGATAAGAATTAATTAGTTTCATTCCAGAGTTGTACCACAGACAATTGTCTGTGGTTGTACTTTTGCAAAAGCTTGTAGAAAACTTATCCTTGATAGATACTTATTTTGTAGATTTATCAAAAACATGTTTTTGGATTTATGCAAGGAACACCACAATCTAAAAGTTTCTTAAAGTGTTCGAAAGTTTCATGTCTGTTTACTAAAGCATTTAAAAAAAGCTTTAATTTTTTAATAAATTTTTGTAGTAATTTTTAAGCCTAGGCACCTATAGCACCTGTTCACACTAAACGTATTAAACGCACGTTTCAAAGTAAATCTGGTGAAAGGACCCCTCATTATTGTGGGACTTATTTAGTTCGTAAACATGGAGATTATTTAGGTGGTTCGTGGATAAGATAAACCCTTCAATTAAATTCCGTAAAATGTTACAAATTTCTCGACAGAGTAGCAGAGACAGTAATTTCAATGAATAATCCAATTTTTAAAAAGACAATGGACCAAAAAATAAATAAAATTAGAATTTACATAATAATAAATTTAATTGTTTCTGTTTTTTTAAATGCTTGAAGTATATTTGAAAAGGGCAGTACGGATGTATTGAATTAGAGGAAAAAATACAGCGCATTGAGGATATTATGTGCTTAATTTAAAGCTTGTTATTCTGCAATATGGATCGTTTAGCAACCGCTGAACATATTAAGATTGTGAAAACTTACTATAAAAGTAGTGATTCTATAATTTTTATAATTCACATAGAATTTTCTTCAGTTGTGGGGCTTATTTTTTTACTTCTTAGATATGTCAACAAAAAATAGTGTGTCATCTGGGTCAATTTTCCACAACCCACAAATGTGTTTATAGAATAGAAAGATAATTTTGTCTGGGAAAAGTCGGTATTTGATAAATAATGTCGCCATTTGATTTAACTGTCCCGCAGA